TCTTCTGAACTCTGCAGGCATGAGTACACACACCCTTACACATGAATAAGCACACATGCACATTCACATAAACACAGACATCATATAAAAACACATAGATTAAAAATAAAGTATTCTAGAAACCTCTGTAGAGCTGGCTTAGTACTTATAAAATTTCTTTAATTAGTTTTTATCATGGAAAGGAACTTATAAAGGCAGACCAATGAGAATAACACCAGGTAGTCAACAGAAAGCTTTAAAAATCTTTAAAGCCAGAAGAGTCTGAAAAGATGTGTTTCAGGTCCAGAAAGACCACCACTGCTAACCCAGACTATTATAGTGGCCCAAACTATCTACTAAAAATGAAGGAGGAATAAAAACTTTCCACAACAAAAAAATTAGAGTGAACAAATCATCATTTTCTTCTGTGCTACAAAGATGCAGCCACAGAACCTACAGTGCAAAGCTATAAATTTGAATATTTTTTAATGAAACAGAAAATTCAGTAACAAAATGGCAAATAGTAAGTAGACTTCAAAACATATTTTAAAGAATTATTTTGACAAGTTCTGAGTCTCGGCTTTGGCCATCACACACTGTTAAGGGACTTTCCTTACTAATTGTTGATAGCTGTACCATATGAATATTAGCACAACTATTTTTAAAAAATATTTATATTGAGTTTCGTGGATTTCATATAATAGATCATATTCAAATTTGGACGCCCTCCTCCTTCCAAGGTCCCCCAAAGTCCCCCCTACAAGATTTCGTGCATTCTGTCATATATGTTAATTCCCATCTGGTCAAGTATTTGTACCCAGATGCCTGTCAGTACAAATTAATCCACTGGAGTCTAGTCAGCCTATCTAGAATAACTCCCTTTAAGAAGATACACTTTCCCTCGCCCAGCAGTAATCATGTGTCAAGTGGATCTGAATGTGTTGGATGTTGACTCTGATGATTACTATTGCAGTGAATATGGGGCAAACACTATGCAGCAGTTAGCCTGGTTGTCTGAATCAGACCACTGACTACTGAAGCTAAAATAATGTATCACGTGATAAATATTAGCCACACATGAAAATATACATTTAAATTTTGTTTTAATTGGAAGTTAAACACTTGAGTTGCACTGTTACATTTCAAGTTCTCAATTGGCATATACACCTTTTGTCAATGACTGATCTAATGCTCAGTTCAGACACAGACATTGTTGCTACAGAAGAGGAGTTTATTGGGCAGTGGTAGTTAAAAACTCATGGGGATCACTCAAAATTCATTTCACAACTCTTCCAGCTGTTGGTCAATAAGTCTGAATGACTTTAAGTTCACCTCCAACTGGTATAGCTACTGGAGCATTGAGATGTGGACTTTGTGTTCTCTATGAAGTCATTTCTAATGGATTCAATAGAATCATCTTCATTAGTAACTCTGAAGAGATTCAGTCCTGAATACCTTGGGGAACTGAGCCTTTGAAATCCTGTAAGATATTTGCCATAGAAAGACCCAGCAGACAAATGCCACAAAAAGCAGAGTGGCCATTTTAACATTCTAAGAAAGTGAAAGTGATAGTGAACAGGCCGGTTTTGGTGGCTTAAGGCTTCTGGAGGCGGAGGCAGGGGCCTCTCTGTAAGATGGAGGCCAGCCTAGTCTGTATAGCAAGTCCCAGGCCAGCTGGAGCTACAGAGAGGCCCTGTGTCAAAAACAAATACAAAAAAAGAGAGGGATAGCATCCAGTTGTCAACAGTAGACCTGCAGGCTTGAACGTGACCTGTGGTCTGAACAAGGCCATAAGGAAGAAATTCAGTGTGCTGTGTTATCAGAAAAACTCATTCTGAACTTTGTACTTTGTTGCTGGAAAACCCCACTTGGTTTTCTTGTCTAGCTTCCTTAGTTTCCCAGATATATATCTTAAGGAAAGAATTATGTCCCCTGATTTATATAACGAAGTCTTGCTCTCAATGTGAGTGTAGTTGAGAAATTGTCTATGAAGAAAATGAAGTGTGTATGGTGTATTATATGTGTCAGCTAACTCAGTATTACTATTGTCCTGAGAAGAAGAGGCACCAAGGAGCTCTCTGTCCTTGGTTTTTGTTATCAGAAAACTCTTGGTGGGAATCCAACTTGGAGCTGATCAGCTAGGAATGCAGCCTAAAATAGAGTATGTAATGAATATTTGCTGGTACTTGATCTTGGATTGTCCAACCTCCAGAACACTGAGAAAATGATTTTTTTTTGCTATTTAAAAGTTTGATTCCCCATTTGGTCTGTGCAGACCAATTTTCATCTTGATACCCTCTGACTGGTACAGCATCAGAGGCACCTGTATATGATTGTCCACTAAATCCGACAGACCTCCTCTTCGTGAGCTCAAGTGTGCCTTCTTGCCAAAGATTATGACAAGTAAGGATGTTAACTATTCATACAACTACATAGAATGAGGGGCAGCAAGAGTCACAGGAAACTCTCTTGAATATAAGGCCACAACTTCCAACACTCAGTGGGCTATTCAGCCCTAACTACATATGGCCTGGGGAAAAACCTGGAATGTATAAGCTGGGAAAGATGATAGGAGGGGGACATTTATGGGGTATGAGGATGCCATCAGCCATGCTTGAGTGAAGACTTTCTTGTGTGTCCTTAGGGAGTAGCACCCACACCCCTATTAGTAACCCGTTACCCATCGTACAGTAAATAAGCCAAATAAAGCTCATTGCTTTCCATACCTCAGTTGGTGCAAACTTAGGAGGAGGAGTTAGGCATTGCTTCCATTTCTTCCCCAGGGAAGGAGTTTTAGCAACACAACTCCTGAACATGGGAACAGTTTCATAACATTATCTCTTGCTCCTCTTACTCTGGTGAGGGCAAAGGGGCCAGGCTTCATCATTAATATGTTTGCCATAGGTACCAGTGTTTCCTTGCAGATGAAGGTATTTGCCTGTTTAACTTTCTTATCAGAATTCCATCAAATGAATGAACCAATTTCTCACCGATCATGTTTGGGGATACATGGGATTATTTATCACCTAGACATCTGGGGGTGCTATTGTCTGGACACACTCTCAAGCAACCTTCCTCCTGTCATAGAACACAGGGTCACTGTCCTTTTCATGGACAGCAAGGGTGTAAGTGGTACTCTATCATTTTCTTGGGACCCTGAATATAGTGCCTTTCTGATCAGGTGGTGGGTCTGGGACAGATGCCTCTGTGACCATCAGCTTTGCCAGGCTACCTTCAGGATATCACTTCTCTCTTCCCCACCTGGATTTTAATCTGGTCCCTGTTGCTTTTCTTACTTGGTGGCAGAAGAGGGTCTCAAGCTTCTCAAGTAAGTGGACGTGGAACAGCTCTAAAATCACAGTAGTGAGAAAATTAACTAACAAAGCTATTGAATGAAATTCCAGTGCCAGGAATGCATTGTCTCCCTTTGATTTGTTGGTCACGAGGTCTTTAAGGTCCCTCATACTATACATGTTAATTTCACTGTTGATTTCATTCCAGAACTGGATAGTAATTCCTTACTGTTAAAAACTTAACACACTTTCATATAGAGATATCAGGTGGGGACAGATCTAAAAATATCTTCCATCCTGACTGGAATTTATAGGACCAGGAAGTGCTATACAAAGTGCTGGAGGATCATTTTTTGCCAGTGGTTTTCTATTAGTACAAATGCAAGGTGTGCCTCCTGGTGAAATAGTGTCATGCCTATTATTGGTGTAATTCACAATTTTCCAAAGAGCTCTCTACACATGTAAGGTGGAGGGTTTCTACCCTCTGTCAAAAATCTGATGTTAAAATCACTTCGTGGTGGTATGATTGTCACATAAATGTTATATGTGTTAAAAGCATATAAAGCAATGTGTTTGAGAAACATCTGTAAAGCATTATCAGGTACCAGGATGAGAAATGTTTCCACCTCTTCCCAGAGTTTCCTAAGATCCATGAAGTATTGATATTATTTAAATTTTTCATTTTCACATTTAAGTTTTTATGGTAGACAATGTGAGATACATTTTCCTAGCAATTTTGTTTACTTTTATGTTCATGTGGAGCCTGATTCACTTCATCCTAAGTAATGCAGTCCCTAAGTCCACTCCTGTATTCAATATTCTCTGAAAGTTAACTTGGTTCCAGATAGGCACCAAAGCATACACTGACTACCTTGTGTCCTCTCTGACTGCACCCAGGTCAGCACTCGCAATGGCGGCAAATCTTCACTATTGAGATTAATGAGAGACAGGCAAGTGGCATGATTGCTGCACTCTCAGAGAATGACCTGGATACATTTCTTTCATTGTCATTTCCTCCAATCTACTTGTAGTGAAGTCTTGTTAAGTGTGCCAGGGCCACAAGCACTGTGTTTCCACACAACTGTTGTTTTAGTATCCTGCAATTCTCCCATCAACCAAACATTTTGTCTTACCATTTTCACCCCTGACGTAGAAGATATTTTACAATATTTGGCAAGCAGAAGAGGCCCGCACAGCTGTTCCTCTATCTATACTGCTTCATCCACCATGGTATTTGCACATTGCTCCCTAGGGAGGACCATCATTTGCATGCCTGAGATAAAAATTCAGCTGTAATCTTGCCTTGACTAATCAGTCTAGTCAGTTCACCTTCTCAAAATGAGAGTCCTTGTTCAGCTCCTGGGGCTGTTAATGCTCTGGATTCCTGGTAAGAATGAAAAGGGCATGGGAAAGGAGAATGGAGAGAGATGGTGAGCTCTAGGGCACCTGCTGTCCAAGTATTTTCACATATGAACTATGACAGTTCTTGTCCTCTAGGATGGACTTGTGAGATCATATGAAACAGGAGTATGATAGTGGGAAGATTTAACACAGAAGAAATGGGAAGGGATGGTGTAAGTTACCTCACTAATCCTTTGAAGGCCTCTCCTCACTTGTGTGGTGAATAAAAGTACTTATTATATGGACAAAATTGCATATAAAGATAAAGATACCACTTGAAATATGTATCCTGACAGGAATCTTAAAGACTTTGTATGACATTTCCACATGACGTTGTACTTCTCTTTTGTTATTTCAGCTTCCATTAGTGATACTGTTGTGATGACCCAGACTCCATTGTCATTGAATGTCGCCCCTGGAGAGCCAGCCTCCATCTCCTGCAGGTCTAGCTACAGCCTCCTGTATAATGATGGGAATACTTATTTGAATTGGTATCTGCAGAAGCAAGGCCAGTCTCCACAGCTCCTTATCTATGGTGCTTCCAAACTTGCATCTGGAGTCCCAGATAGGTTCAGTGGCAGTGGAACAGAGAAAGATTTCACACTGAAAATCAGTAAGGTGGAGGCTGAAGATGCTGGGATTTACTACTGCCTGCAAGCTTTATATGTTCCTCACACAGTGCTACAGATTCTATCAAAAACCTTCCTGTTTGACATGGTCCAGCTGCTAAATATATTGTTTGTCTAAAGAGGAGCAAAACACACTGCATCTGTGTAACAGGACTATGCTAATGAACTTTGGGTGCCCTTGAAAGCTCTGGACCATGAGTGCCTCAGCTGTGACTCAAGTGCCATGAATTTCTGGCATCATCAACTGCACCCATCTTGGTATTCCATCTCCAACAAGAGAAAGGTGTGCAATGGCTCTCTCAGCAACAGCAATGAAAGGCATAAATCTAAATGAAAACTCAGTCTAACCCTGATTCTAATATTTAACAAAGTAGACTTCAGATTAAAGTTAGTCCAAAAAGCTACAGAAACTCACTTCATTCTGAAGAATGGAATAAGTGACAAAGAAGGCTTTACAATCATGAATACATATGCACCAAACGCTAGTTCACCCAGTTTCATAAAAACAGTACTACTCGACTTCAAGACACATATTGTCCACAACTCAGTAATAGTAGGTGACTTTAGTACTCCACTGTGTCCAATAGACAGATCAACTGGACAAGGAATAAGCAAAGAAACATCTGAATTAAGTGAAATAATACATCAATGGGCATAACAATCTATAGACTATCCCACCCAATCACCAAGGAATACACATTCTAGTCAGCAACCCACGGAAGTTTCTTTAAGTTGACATACTGTTTCACAAAACAAGCCTCAACAAGTACAAAAATTGAAACATTCCATATATTCTATCAGAACACAATGCAATAAGACTTATAATCAGCTGGAAAAAGAAGCTCTAGTAACTAAATAAACTCATGGAGATTAAACCATATACTCCTGAATGATGAATGTGTTAAAAAAGAAATCAAGAAAAAAGTAAAAGTATTTCTGGAACTAAAGGAAAATGATAATACAACACAACACCACCTCTACAATACATTAAAATTAGTTCTAATGGGGAAGTTTATAGCTAGCTCTAAGTACCTGTAGTAAAAAATTGGAACGAACACAAATAAATAACTTAATGATACAACTCAAGAATCTGGATGGCAAGAAGAAGCCAAATTGAAACCCAGAAGATGAGAAGATATAATAAAAAAATCATAGTAGAAATCCAAGAATTAGAAGTAAAAGAAATAATAAAAGAATCAATGAATCTAAGAGCTGGTTCTTTGAAAAGATAAATACAAATAAATGAAGAATAAATCCAAATGAACAAAATCAGATACAAAAGGGGAAAATCACAACAGATGGCAAAAAATTATCCAGAAAATTTACTTCTTAAAAATTGATGGAGAAATAACCATATTTCATGATATACACTAAAGAAAATTTATACTCATCTAGACAGTGTTCTAGGAGATATTTAACAGCATCTACAAAGAGAAGAGGAAGAAAAATAGATCCATTTATCAGAACTCATGAAAGAATATATTTTATGAGACGAATAGATGAAAAAAGATGAGCTGTAAAGAATCAATATGTCCAACGTAGTAAACAACAAACCCTCCATACATATAGAAGGGAAAGAAAAGTAAAGAATGCCTCAACAATCAGCAAAAAGAATAAATCTCTTTCAATAATAACCCTAAATGCAAATGGTCTTAACACAGTAATTAACATCTGCATAAAAAAATAAGGTCCAAGTCTCTGTTATCCCAAAGAAACACGATCACTGGCAAGAAACACATACAAGGAAAAAGATAGAAGTCAATTACAAAAGGAAAATAGGAGTTGAAACCATGTGTGCTTGACCATAATTAATTTGGTAAGTACACTTCAATAGAAAGTTAATCAGAAGAGATGAAGATGGCCCCTGTATTTTAATAAAGGAAGTAGTCCATCAAGAAGATGTAGTGATATAATTGTTATATATAGATATGGAACATCAAAGTATGAAATTTCATAAAATAAAGAGTAATGGACACAAATGGATAAGTAATTCCAGATGAAATAATAGTATGTTAAATCAGTACATCACTTTCATCAATAGACAAGTCACTCAGATGAACAAATCATGAGTAAAAACAGGGTTAAACATCAGCATATAATAAACTGACATAATTGATATCTACAGAATCTTCTTTCTAACAGCTACAGAGTACAAATTGTTCTCAGGTGTATATGTAAATTTCTCTAAAGCAAATCAGATTTTAGACCACAAGACAAGTGATAACCTGTTACAAGTTACCATTTCTAGAGCTGTTACATTTCTATAACAATATAACCTATAGAAACTTTATAAATACATAAAATTTTCAGTGTACTATTAAATAACAGTGAGTCATTGATGAAATTAGAAAGGAGATTAAAAAATCCCCAAATCAATTAAGATTAAAAATGTGGAACTTTAGGGATATAGTATCTGCAATTCTAAGAGAAAAATTTATAACTATGAATAATTATGTTAAGAAACACTGGGCTAGTGTGAGTAAAGTGCTTTATTTACAAGTTTAAGGATCTGAGTTTGAAGCCTCAGAACCACATAAAGCTGTGTGCAATGGCACATCTTGTATTCTTTATGCTTCTGTGACAAGATGGGAAGCAGAAACAGAAATTCCAAAACTCTGGAGTCAACTAGCCTCACATACAATGTGGCAAGCAATGGAAGACCTGCTTCAAACAAGGATGAAGGTGAGGGCCAACACCAGGGCTTTCCTCTGACTGCCACACATGTGCCATGGTATATAAGAACCAGCACTCATACAAAGGAACAGGCACACAGACACACAAACATACACATGAGAAAAATTGGTATCTACAGTAAATGGGCTAACGACGCACCTTAAGATTAACAAAGTAGCAAGTCAAATCCCAAAACACTACATGTAAATATTTATATTATTATAGAAATTAATAAAATGGGGTCTTAAGACAAATATAAATGAGTGAGGGGCCAATAAGATGGCTCAACAGCTGCTAAAGGCATGTGCAGCAGAGACTGACAATATGAGTTCAAACTCAGAAACTACATGGTAAAAGGAGGAATCTAACTTTTATTGTCCTCTGACCTTCCCATGTGTGCCCTGGCATTCATGCATCTCTACCCTCACACACACAATAAATAAAAAAAATATAAAGTAAAAATGAAAATGAATCAGTGAAGACAAGAGCTAATTTTGGGGGAAACAATAATAAGATCAGAAATCTCTTGAAGAAACAAAAAAACAAAAAAACAAAAAACAGAAAGAAAGACAGCTAGACACAATTTAGCAAAACATAAATTAATTTAAAGGAGACGTTAAAACACAAACCAGTAAAATTCAAAAGGGACATTGGGGAATAATTTAGATTTTTAATGCAAAAATTGCACAATACAGAAGGAATGGATAAATTCCTAGACATATTTGACCTACCAAAATTTATTACAGCTACACTATTTTATCGATACACTTCTGTTTAAACAGCACTTTACTCAGGCTTGAGACTGGAACAATTAAAAAAAATTTCATCAAAGAAAAGCCCAAAGTCAGATGCATTAAACTGTACATTCTGCTTGATTTTCCAAAGATCTGGCAACAATGGTATTCAAACTATTTCATAAAATCAGAAAGGTGTAACTCCAAACTATAGTAAAGATCAAATATTACACTGATACCAAGTCCATACAAAAGGCATAACAATAGAAAACAATCTATAAAGAAATTCCCCTGATGAAGACAGACACAGCACTTAATTGTTATAAAATAGTTATTATAAAGATAATTAAATAGAGGCGTGATTTATTTGATTCCACAGTTTCAGAGAATTCAGTGCATAGTCACTTGACTCCATGTTTCTGGGTACATTTGATGCAGAACACTGTGGAGGTAATAGCTTGTGGTGAGGAAGCTTCCATATCTCATGGTGAATGGGAAGCAGAGAGAAGGGGCAACTGCTGGTGTTAGGTGGGCTTTCATTTCCCACTTATTTCTGTCTAGACACCCTGCTCATCAAATGGGACATTAATGGTCAGTCTTACCCAGTCAATCAATCCTCTTTGGAAAGGACATTACAGCAAATATACACAGATGTGAGCAGAACCAATTTTCTAGGGAATTCTAAATCTATTTACATTGACAAGACTAGTCACCTGATGTCAACTTGCCATGCAAACACAACTCCATAAATTATCCTTTAATACAAAATATACTAAGTCTAACTTTAAGTTTCCATAATCTTAACAATCCAACATTATTCAGAAGTCTGCTTTTATTTATCTCCTGAGGCTAAAGACAAACATTTAGTGCTGAGCCGGTGTGGCACGCATGGGGCCTGCACTGCGTTGGCCAGGCTGCCATGGCGACCAAGAAGGCAGACTCACGCCTGGAGACAGAGAGCTGCCAGTCCAAGTGCCAGTGGAAGCAGACCCCGGAGCTCATCAAGCAGCTGTTGGTCAAGCTCATCACCACCGATGACATGGCTGAACCTCTCCTTGGGGAGCTGAAGCTAGAGCAGAAGGTGAAGGAGAAGCCCCTGTGGCAGGGAGCCATTCCTGCAACCCCAGGCCCTAACTGACCAAAGTGTCCAAGCATCTGACTGCTGCCATGGACTGAGGAACCTCAAGTCAGAATTCCCAATAGAATCCAACATGATTATGGCCAAGTTGAATTAGGTAGATAGATATTATAAGGAAGCTCTGAACATTTATGGCCCAGTGGGGACAGCTGTCGCTCCCTATAGGTTGCAGATGATTGTGGAAGCCTACTGCTACCAAAGATAAAAAGATATCAGAGGAGAGTCTTGAAATGGACTTTGCCCTTGTGCGTTTATAACATGGTTCCTCAAAAAGCTCACAAGTAGACAGCCATCTGGATAATAATGGCGGAGGTGTTTGCTGCTACTGCTGTTGGAATAACTTTAGGCCTTCATGAGCTTTTTTAGTGTGACCATGGTGGCCTTCTTCCCCAAGGGTCTGTAGCAAACTGGTGTGGCTGCGGTGCCACTCAGTAGCAGAGAACATTAGTAGGGATCTGCACAGAGGAGAGGAGCCCAGGCACCGGGCCATCATGGGCCTGACCCCTCTATCCTGAGGATTTTATCTGAAAGATTTTAACCACAGGAGCAAAATTTTAACCAGTCAAATGAAGT